GTCTTTATAAAAACTAACCCATGATAGAAACTGTACATAAATTAAATTTAAAAATAGAAATTGTTCCTCTCTTTAGTGTCTTGATTATATTTCAAATTTCCCAATTTTCTAGTTAGTGCTTGAATGTTCTCACTCTCATAAAATGTGTTTGGATACATATTAGTAATTCTCTTCATAACTGAAAAAACCATCAATTATGCTGCACAGATTCATAAAAACCACCAGAAAACCCACAGTTATTCACAGGAAAAACTTCACATCAACAAAAGTAGCAGTAAACAACACAAGCTAATTTTCCCCATTCTTTTCCAATGTGTGTGACCTGTTGACATGTTACAAGCTTATGTTATTTCAGTTGTTCTAGAAATTCCTTGTATTTGTTTAAGAATTGCCTAATGTTTAGTTCTAAGTATAGGTTACTGTGTTGAGTGAGTATGCTTTTTTTAATGCTGATGTAATAAAATGGAACAAGTAAGTAAAAGATAATGGTTTGAAGCAAAGGTCCTTTAAACATAGGCTATTATTTTTCAGTGGTAATTGCATTTTATGGGAGAACTGATTCAACTACTAGCTCATTTATTTCATAAAAATATTCAGTTAGAAATGTCCACTGTGTTCTGAGGTTTGCAAGTGACCAGTTAGTTCAATGAAGACAACAGGCTAAGAATGTACTTCCTAGAATCAGAGGGTTCTGGGTGAATTTGAGCTTTATTGCTTGCTAGCTGCCTCACCTTAGGTGATTACTCTATTTGAGCCTCAGTTCCCTTTTGCTGTAAAATGCAGCTCATCTCATCTCACCAGAAAACTACTACAAAATATGGATAACACATACACATACTCACAAAAAAATAAAAATAAAAACCATAGATATCAGAGAAAAACCAAGATAGGACAAAACAAGGCTTATAAAAAAAATAAAGATAAAAAAAGAAAAAAAATTCTCAGAAAACTCTCTTATGTAAGTGTACCAAAGACTATAAGAACATAGGATGTTGAACATCTTTCATATGCTGATTTGCCATCTGTATATCTTTGGTGAGGTGTTATGGTTTAATAATGACTATTTGTTAAAGGGCCCTTATACACCTGATAGTATCTTTAATACCTTCAGCAATCTTCTAGTTAGATATTGTGATAACATAATATTGAGGCAGTTATAGTTCATAGATATGAGTTTGATGCCACCAACTACCTTATGACTCTGGATATGTTACTTAACCTCTCTAATGCTTCAGTTTCCTCATCATTAAGCTGGAGTAAATGATAATACCTGCCTCAAAGGATGCCTTTTATGATTAAACTAGTGTCCCGATGCACAGATTCATGCACATTGAAAGGAAATTAATTAGAAGATGGCTGGCAGGGCAGGACTAGACAAGATAGGCCAGGCTCGTTCTGGAGCCAATCTCCCATGGCCCCTCCTGGCCAGCCACACCACAAAGTTCTTCTGCAGAGTGAGCAGGGTCCCTCGGCCTAGCCTGCAGGGATCAGCTAAAACCGGCTCTTTGACATACCCCGAGAGGTCCTGGATGGTGAGAGGGTGGTTCTCAGGTAACACACCCCAGAAATGGGCTCCCTCCTCTCTGGTTCAGGGTGCATGACCCAAGAACCGTGGCTGCCAAGTCACTGCAGCTCAGCAGCTCCTTTGTTGAGCACCTGCCCCCTGGTGATCATTGTGTGTCATAGCTGGTCAGATGGTCGCTTAGCCTTTTATATATATAGATATAATATATGTAATACATGCATAGGTATTATTGCATAATAAACATCCAATAAGTGTTATTATGGTAATTATTATAAATTAGGTACTATTATTGAGAAAATAATAATAACCAAATAATATATATATATAATTTTATTGTCATATTTGAAAATCAAATGCTCGCTCTCTGATTCCAGGATTTGTGAACTTAATTACCATACTGTAGCTTCTTCCAAGTCTGTGGGCTGTATCTTCCCAAGAAAAAATCCAGAGTTATAAGACAGAGCCCATAAGCACATCAAAGTTTATGTAGTGGGTTAAATGGTAGCATTGAAAATATATTTTCATTCCATAATTTCCAGAAGCTATGAATGTTAACATATTTGGAAAAGAGTATTTGTAGATATAATAAAAGATCTCAAGATGTGGAGATCATCCTTGATGACTAGAGTGATCCCAAAATTTAATGACAACTGCCATTATAAGAGTCAGGCAGAGGGAGATCTGACACAATGATAAAAGCCTCATGATGACAGAGGCAGAGATAGAAGTGATGTGGCCACAGGCCAATAAATGTGGACAACCACCTGAATTTGGAAGATGGAAGGGACAGAATCTTCCCTAGAGCCTTTGAGGAGAGCATGGCCCTAATATTAGCTTGATTTCAGATTCCCGGATTCCAGAACTGTGAGAAAGTCAATTTCTAATCATTTTTCTCCCTTTTCAGTATAATCAGTAGTTTTTCACTCTCCTTGATTTTTAGTTACATACATCACATAATTTGGTATTTGACCTTATTTTTTCATTTCTTCATGGCTAACTGTGTCTCCCCAATTAGGATGCAGGTTCCCTATTAACTATCTCATAATTTGTTTACAGTACATTCACTTCATATAATGACAATGGGTCTTACTTGCCTTCAATAAACACCTATGGATTGACTGATTATGATTGATTAAATCAATGAGAGACTAAATACATCCATAAATATAAAAACACTGAAACATGCAGGAAGGATTAGACTTTTATAGTCAAACAGATCTGAACTTCAATCTTATTTCTGCCATTCATTAACTTAGTGACCATGTATGAATTACCAGTACTTAGACACTGAATTTAAATTTCCTCATCTGTAAACAATGATAATACCCATTCTCCATCTTGTTGAAGGGAATCTTGACAATTTCATTTACAGATATTGGTTGTTTTGTTCTTCCCAAAATATAGTCACATATTCTTATGGTAATAGTGCCTAAGTTTTCCCAATTAGGTAAGGTCTCTGTACAATGATAGTCAAGGGACTATCTGCTCTGGCCAATGATAATGTGATGCTAGGCTGTCAGATTCTTTTCTTGGAATTTGAATCTTAAAACCACTGAGAATTAAGACCAATAATAAGATTCAAGATAATTCCTAATGTATGAGCCCTGAGATGATTGATCATTTCTTGTGACCTAAAAGACTACTTCTTAAAGGACAGGAGCTTCATTGATTATCATTTCTGATTCCTGTTTCTGTTTTTTAGCATTTTCTTCCATTCTATGATTCATTTCATAGGGCTGAACTTCCCTATAAGTTTTTTTTTTTTTTTGGGGGGGGTGGTGGTGGTGGTGGTGGGAGGGGTTTACTTTTCCCAGAGAATTCAGTTTTTGTACTTTGAACAAAATGTTCTTGAACAATACATGACTGGCTAGTAACTGGGACATTGTAGGAACCCAATCTCCCAATCCGTAGCAGCAGTGATTATCAGTGGTGTACTCCTTTTAGAACATAGAGTCAAACACAAATTAGAGGGGCTGGTATACTTTACAATGAGTATTTTCTTTCTTCATATCTCCTGGGGGGTGATTTTCTGTTCCAAGGAACATTTGGCAATATATTAAGACATTCTTGGTTGTCACAGCTGGGGAGCAACTACGTAGGCATCTAGGGGTTTAGCCAGGGATGTTGCTAAACATTCTGCAATGCAAAGGACAGCCTTTAGAGCAACAAAAATTTGGTTTAAAATGTCAATAGGGCCAAGATTGAGAAACCCTGCTGTAGAGGAAACTGGACAGCACACTGTAGTTTCCCAGGAGTAAGTGGCGTTACTTAGAGTCATTAATACTTGTGTTTAGAATCAGTTACATTTACTCCTGGGAGGTGGATTGGGGGAGAAATGAATCAAGATAGTGATTGCTACAAAAGTTTTTAAGATTTTAAATTCTCAGCAATGTGCCTACCAGTATCTAATCAATGTGCTTAAGTCACTTGTTGTACTGAATCTTTGATGATTTCTTTATATGTGTCAGCAGTGTCCTGCCTCATCTTCGTAGCAGTATATTCTCAATTTTTTTGAAGAAACCTCTCATTCTTGAATATACAATACTACATCTCTAATGAGTCTTTGGCATCAATTGTGTTCCCTGTAGGAAATGATCTAATCAATAAAATCAGTATATATAAAACCAACAAGCTGAAACCGGTTTGGCTCAGTGGATAGAGCGTCAGCCTGAGGACTGAAGGGTCCTAGGTTCCATTCCAGTCAAGGGCACGTACCTTGGCTGCAGGCACATCCCCAGTAGGGGGCATGCAAGAGATAGCTGATCGACTCTCATCAATGTTTCTAACTATCTTCCTTCCTCTCTGTAAAAAATCAATAAAATTTATTTAAAAAAAAAAACAACAAGAAGGTAAGGGTGGGAGGTGGAAGAGGAGGAAGACTTAAAGGAAAACCTTTTAGTGTCTTAGCCTACCAAATGTTCTTTCCCATTCCTAGTAGCTGTATTGCCCATCAGTAATACATGGTTTGGATAATGAGATGAACTTCAAGATGAGTTACAAAGTGAAGAATTAATCAGAGAAAAATACAAGGCCTTCACTTTGGAAGGGATTAATTTGACTGGTACGATAAAGAAGCTTAATTCATTTGACTGTTGCCTGGTAACTAAGGATCTTTATTAAAGATAAGCTTCAGGCACAAATTCCAGTTCCTGCTATGGAGGGGGAAAGGTTTTTATATTTTGGGTTCTCTTGCCTAAGGCAGTTTTTAAAATATATAATTACTATGTTATCTGCCTATAGTGATCTACAATTTGCATAATAAAGAGGTCCTTAAGGGCTGTTCCTGCTGGATTTCACAAAGCTCTGACATTTTTAAATGACCTTCTCAATAGAGAAACATTAAATGAAATGGCAGGATAAAAATAGCTTTAAATAATCTCCAAGTGCCAGGGACATTTGCCACTGAATATTTTTAATACTAGCATGTTTATTACCTTGACTCTCTTTAAAATGTAATTGTAAACTCATTTTAATTCCCTCAAACAAAAAGTCCAGGTTTGCAAAATATCTAGCTATTTTCTGAGCTAACTATATCCAAATGAATATTTTAACTAAAGTGATGTGCTACCTACAAACTCAAGAATGTAAGAAAGTGATCCCATATCTCCTGTCACTATTAATAATGATAGACAATGACAAAAGAATATTTCCTGGAGATGGAGCTCATTAGAGCTACTTAAACTGTAATAGTGTGAGGAGTATCAATACAATTCTCCATCCTTCTGAAGAAAGAACAACTAGATTATTTGTATTAGTGGTCTTCTCAGAAAAATATACTGGAAAGAGGAGGGTGAAACTAACTCACCTCTAACTCACACTCACTAGTGTTTTGATCTTGGGAAGTTACTAAAGCTCTCTGAACCTCATCTATAAAATGGGAACAAAAATGTACAAATAATAATGCCTATCCTATTTTTAGTCTATGATTACTGCTAAATTCAAAAAGAAATATGATGTTTATAAGAACACATCTTTAAAAGTTGTACCAAGGTAAATTGTTGTTAATATTCACAGGTTAAAAAAAAGAATGCAAACATAGATGCATGCTTAATTAACCTGTTTTCACTAAGTAACTATATTTCAGTTATTGTAATCCTAAACTATATTACCATTGGCATGCTGTAATTTTTAGTGGTTGCCTTCCACTATATCATGAGTTTTGGAACCAAAAATCTTAGGGTTAAGTCACAAATCTGTCACCTATTTATAATATGTTCAGGATGTTGCAGAGAGCTCAAATGATATAAAGAATGTAAAGTGCTAACAATAGTGACCACTGAATTCATGTTGGGGTTTTGCAATGATTCTGCCTACTCAGAAGTATCTCTAATTCTACTTTCTTTCACTTACCAGTGCCATAATGCCATTAATGGACAATACTCAAACAACAAATAATATTGATCATAATCATGTTGCTACTAAAAAGAAAATACCAACATGTAAACTTGTTTACTAAACTCTAATATTTGTCTTGGTTGATTGCTTTTCTTTTAAAGTTCCTGTCTGGCCAACATTCTGACTCTATTACCAGAATCTACAATTAATTTAGCTTGTAATAATAGTAAGCAAGTACCCCAAAATTATTTCTTTAGCAAGAAAAAAAATGCCACAAATGCTCACCATAGTTGAACATATCCAAGCATTATTCCTTGAAATCTTGCAGGATCAGTCTAAACATAACAGCTGAGGCCCAAAAAACCCACTTTCTCCATGGAAAGTTCTATTTTGGTTGGGGTTTGGGTTTCTACTGTACAATATTTGGTTTTGTTTTACTAACCACATGCTATCTGTTACCATCCTCTCTCTTGAATCCACCCATAGACATTTGAATGCTTCCATTAATAGTAAACCACCAGTTTCAACGCAAGCACAGCAATAATTAGACAGCCAGTTCTGCATTTTAGAACTCTATAAAGAAGAAATTAAAGGGTCTTCAAAATATAATTTTTCACACATAAGGTTTTTAATTTTTTTTTTATTGATTGATTTTAGAGAGAGAAGTAGGGGAAGAAGGAGAGGGAGAGAGTAGCATAATGTGTTATTCCACTTATTTATGCATCCATTGATTGATTCTTGTTTGTGCTCTGAGTGGGAATCAAACCTGCAACCTTGGTGTGTTGGGATGATGCTCTAACCAACTGAGCTACCCGGCCAGGACTTCACATATTGGGTTTTAATCAACAATGTTATGTTTACATAAGCCATTAAAGCAAGCACATTGATCAAGCCTTTTTGTATGTGCCTCTACATGATTGTGACTAAATTACTGTCAAAGGCCTCTCTGATCTATGTCAATTACAAATTAGAGACTGCATGAATATATAATAGGACCACCACTGAAGGAGGCGAGTTCAGAGAGACTTTATGCTAATTAAGACTATCATTAGCTGAACATTTACTATTAGTTAGCACTATGCTAATCCCTTCTGATGTGTAATTCCGATGTGAAATTATTCAGCACTTAAAACAATCTAACCAAGTGGTTATGTTATCCAATTTTTAACGTGGAGAAACAAGTTAATGGAGATTAAAAGTGATTTACCTTAGTCAATTTTGAAATAAAGATTTGAATCCAGATAGCCCAATTGAAAAAGAATGCCCTTAGTCTTTGAGATAAATTGTTTCTCAAAGGCATAAAGGATACACAAAAATGATCAGATCCAATATTTATATGTATATCTTAATATTTCTGGATTTATGTGGCTTTTCCCTAATTTCTCTGTCAGATCAGCAGTTTTTGGTAATTGTGTAAGATGCAGATTTAAAATTAAAGGCATCCTGCCTGGCAGCTGTGGTACAGTGGTTGAGCATTGACCTATGAAGCAGGAGATTAAATTTCTGGTCAGAGCACATGCCCGGATTTCAGGCTTGATTCCCAGTGTGGGGCATGCAGGAAACAGCAGATCAATAATTCTCTCTGTTCCTCTCCCTTCCTCTCTGAAATCAATTAAAAAAATTTTTTTTAAAGAAAGGCATCCCATACCAGAGCTAGCTGTAAACAGAATGCTGTTCGTGGCTAAGTAGTAAACGTCATGTCAACAAAAAAACTCAGAAGGGCAACTTCCCAGGGCTGTGGCAAGAGAAGAGGTCTTGCCTTCCCTTCAGAAGAGAAACAAATAAACTCAGTGTCTCCTTCCACCTCTAAGATTTCAATGACAGTATGAACACAATTTTTAAAAGCCATCCCGGAAGTTTTCAGTGTTCTGGCTTAAAGCTGAATTCCTTTTTTATTCTATTAAGAAAGATTTTCTTTTATGGGGCTCCCAAACTCTTGGATAACCTGTTAGCTGCTATGGTAAAATAAACTGCATACCAACAGTGAGCACAATACAGCATGCCACATCCTAACTTTTCTAGTGGTGATAATGCCCAAGGAAAGCAGTGAACATTTCCAGTAGACCCATAGGACCTTTCTAATACTGTCTCCACCAAGTTGTTCCATTTAAATTCACCTCCTACCACCTCCCCTTGGAGAGCCCATGCTATTTTTTTTTCAACATAATCCTAGAGCCTGCCATTTCCCCTGCCTCCTCTTTATGCTTATCCTCCCTGTAAAATTTAATTACATTTTAATTAATTTAACATTTAAAATTTAGGTAGTGATTCTTTTATAAAAAGTCATGATGTGTGATCTAGCCAGAAGGACTAGAAAGGGACATGATGTATTTCCAACCTATTATACAATTTTTGAAAGGCCAAGGCAAACTTGGGAGCTGGCAGAAAGCCAATGTTGGGGGGGGGGGGGAAAGAATCTCTAAGGTGACTTTGATAGTACACAGATGATCTCCCATCGCTAAATCCATGTAGGTTTGAGGTTAGTCCTGGAGAAGATCAAAAGCAAAGTCTCAGGACAGGAATAGCTAAAACCACCATGCTTGCAAGATTCAGAGTCACCCCTGCACAGATTGTAAATATAGCACTGACAACAATGAAATTCCACAAATCCAGTGAAATCAGCCAAACACTTATTTAGTTGAAATGATTACTCATCTGAAATGGTTTCAAGCTCCATAGTGAATGATTAATAGAGTTACTTTTGGATTCACACCTCCCTGCCCTCAAGTCTCAGCTTAGCTGCTAGGCAAGTCATCTAACCTTCTGGGCCTTTCTCCTCCTATATACCACTAGGATTATAATTGTACTTGTTTCATAAGACTATTGTAAAAATCAAATGGGAAAATTCACGTCAAGTGTTTAACACAATGTTTATTGTTTTTCAATACATCAACTAGAGGCCTGGTGCACAACATTTGTGCACTGGGGGGAGGAGGGAAGGGTCCCTCAGCCAGATCTGCACCCTCTCACAGTGGGACATCCCCCAAGGGGTCCTTAGCACTATTGCGGAGGCAGGAAAGGCTCCCGCCATTGCTGATGCACTCGCCAGCCATGAGTCCAGCTCATGGGAGCGCACTGCATTGAGCATCTGCCCCTGGTGGTCAGTGTGTGTCATAGCTACTGGTCATTCTTCAGTCCAGTCGATTTGCATATTAGGGTTTTATTAAATAGAATAAGTTTGAGAAGTAACTCTACTTAATGTCTGGGTCTCCAGGTCTATTTGGGTAGAAGGGGCATCATAATAAGGCCTGCCACACAAGGCTGTTGTGAGGATTTTATGACACCAGTAATAGCTATGATTGCACTGCTGCTGCTGTTGTTATTGTTAACATTACTCTTTCAAGTAAATTGAGCCCTCCATTGTATGCTGGTCTAGGGCCCTTTCCAGACTAGGTGCATATCAGGTCCCCAAAGCTGCTGTCTGATAGACATGTTGTATGAGTCCATCTTTGAAAGATTCTCTAGATAAGAAATAATTTGGAGCCAATCCAGACACATAATCTTGAACTTGAACAGTATCTAATGCATTTTCATTTCAGTACTGGCCTTCACTGAGAAATAGACTCTGCGCTCACCTATCATCGGCAGTGTGGCTAGGACTGGAGGGGAGAGGGAACTGCTTTTGTCTAAGATTACTGGCTGCATTTCAGGGAGTATGGTGGGAAGACAGGTTAAGAATCAACTCACTTCTGTACACATGCAATTTTTTATGCATTAATTTATATTTATTCTCATTTAATCTTAAAACAACAACTCTGGAAGATAGATTTGTGAAAGATATTTCCTGTAGAATTGAAATTAATAATGTGGAAGGGGTAAGTAAGGTATCACCCAAGTAGTCACAGGCTGTAAATGGTCAACAAGGTACTAGAATTAGATTTTTCTATATCCAAGACCAGTTGTCTTTCAACTATACCATCATCTATACTACATTTGAATTTTGACCTCTCAGAACTATTCTCACAATGAATATCTGATGTATTTTTGAGCACCAAGCTCAGGACCTGAAAAAGCTCCTAGATTATGAGCTAAATCTAAATTTAAGTGGCTAAAGGAAAAGTAGGCTAGAGTAATGTTTAAACAAATTACTCTCAAATGAAGAGTTCCATTTACCTACATTTTCCAATTAACTAAAGATTAACCAGAAATTTTTTATTTATTTACTTTTGAAACAAATATTTTTATTTTCAACTTATTTTTATTTGTCTTAATAATAAGTCATCTGCCTTCCTACCTTAAAAAGTCAACTCCAGTGCATTTTTTTTCTTCTTTAAAATTTGAAGATTTAGCTCTGGCCTGTATAGTTCAGTTAGTTGGGCATCATCTCATAAACCTACAGGTTGCTAGTTCTATTCCTGGTCAGGGCACATGCCCAGTTTGTGGGCTCCATCTTTGGTAGGGGTGTGCAAGAGGCAAGTGATTGATGTTCCCCTCTAACATCAGTATTTTTCTCTCTCTCCCTAAAAATCAATTTTTAAAAAATGATAACAAAAGCTTGAAGTTTTAGTTTGTTGTTTCTGATAATTAATATTTCTGAATTTCTTTGCCCAAAATTATATATGTAGAAAGTGTAAAAGGTGAGCTTAGTGTAAACAGGCCCCAAGGTATATATATATTTTAAAAAAATCTCTGAGCCGAAACCGGTTTGGCTCAATGAATAGAGCGTCGGCTTGGGGACTGAAGGGTCCCGGGTTCGATTCCGGTCAAGGGCATGTACCTTGGTTGCGGGCATATCCCCAGTAGGGGTGTGCAAGAGGCAGCTGATCGATGACTCTCTCTCATCGATGTTTCTAACTCTCTATCTCTCTCCCTTCCTCTCTGTACAAAATCAATAAAATACTTTAAAAAAAAATCTCTGAAATACAGTAAGTCCTCACTCAACATCATTGATAGGCTCTGTGATTTTAAGTGAAATAACATTTAACAAAACAAATGTTTCCATAGGGTAACTGATATAAATAAAAGTTAAAGAGAGGTTAATTGAGGAAGCAAGAAAAAGAGGAACATGCCTGCCTCTGAAACACCAAAGAGGAAAGAAAGAAAGGATGGGTGTGAACCTACCCAAAAGTCCAGGAGAGTTGGGAAGGAAGTTGAGAGAGTTTGT